ATGTAGGACCTCATAATGTGTTTGCCACCACCCAAAAAGACTTTTCCCCATATCCAAGCCAATCGCCAGTCATTTGAACCTGTGTCTAAGACCTCCGGACAAGCTAGTGATGACAACCGTTTCATGAACTCTAGTTTAGAGGTTGTCGCCGTAGTGTTGAGACGATAGGGCCGAGAGTTGATGATTGTGCACATTTTTTGCACTAAAAGGTCCCGACCCCACTGGTCAAGAGAGTGAGTGATTCATTCTTGTTTTGCATGCCATATCATACCTCGGTGAGGACCTTTGGTGCCCATCCGTTTGTTCCTTGGAGTTGAACTCTATGCATGGTTAGTTGTGGCTGGTAAGTGATCTTTGTGAAACTTGCATTGATTCATGAACAAGGTGAGAACTTTTCATTTGCCCGTTTCTATTAGCCTCGAATGTCATTTGTGGTGGATGTCGGTATTGCTTGCAACGGTCCTTGTGTTAATTGCCAATAGCCATTTGAGATTCGCCACTTTGTGCCCTTTGAATTGTACCCAAAGAATTTTGATAGGTTGAGTTTTTACCTTGCGTAAAATTGTTTGCTTGGGGACAAGCAAACGTCTAAGTGTGGAGGAGTGATTCGGGCCTAATTGCACACATTTTATTCCCGTTTCCCTTGGGCGTTTGTAGCATTTGAACTCCTAAAAGGGTGGTTTTACGCTAGGTGTTGTGCGTTTTACTGTATTTCAGGATCCAACAGGTGAAACCAGTCCCGGATTCGAAAGTTGGACGAAAAGAGGCGAAAACCAGGCAAAGAGGGTGAACCAGGCGGAGTTCACGGGTTAGCATGGGAGTTCATGGTTCACTATGACCATGAACTGAAGCCCAAAACCGTGAACCGTGATGCGTCTAGGGAGAAATCTTCAGTTACGGATGCGAGAAGAGTTCATGGTCAACAAGACCGTGAAGATTGAGGCCAAACCATGAACTCCTGATGGCAAAGCGGAGCGTTTCGACATCGCGTTCTGTGTTCACGGACACGTTGAAGAGTTCACGACCGTGAACTGAGCCCGATCCTGGTATATAATGTGAGCTGAAAGGAAGAGAGAGGGGGAGCCGAAGTGTGAGAAAGGACGTGTCTTCTTCTTCGGATTTTAGAGAGAGAAAGGACGAACCAAGGAAGAAGGAAGGCTAGGGTTTTCTCCAACTAGTGAATTGGGAAGAATCTCCCCAAGAGAAGATCAACACAAGCTTACAGGAGATTGGAGGCATCTCCATGATGGTTTCTACCTCTTCCACTTGTGTTCTTCCCCTTTCTAGTATGGAGTAGTACTCTTTTTTCACTTGGGTGTTGTAAAACCCTAACTATTTGCCATGTAGTTGTAGTGTGACTTGAATGATTGTTTATGGGTGTTGTTTAATTTAATGATTGAGGTATTTTTCATGATAATTGTGCATGTGTGTGCTTAGCAATCTAATTGGTCATTCTAAGCTAGGTTAGAGGGGAACCCCCCCCCCCCCCCTCAAAAGAAGGGGATTCCTTGGGCTTGACAAGCCACCTACCTAGGTTAATGTAGGGCCAACCTCTATCTTGAATTAAGCAACTAGGTTAATCATGATTAAGCCGTCCAACCATCAATTTGAGGGAGAAGGTAAGTCAACCCTTAATTGCCGTAACCAAGAGGGCTACTCTTGTAGCCTATAATGCATCCCTTGGGTTGGCAATTGAGAGTGTGGTCTTTGACCTTAGTTTCACCTCCTAGCGGTTCATATTTGCCTTGCCCATAACGTCCAATTTGAGTCCACATGACATGGTAGTAGTTAGGGGGAAGCTACACCCGAGTGATCCTTCTCATCTAGAGCTTTAAACCATTTACCTTTGGTTTGTTTTGATTCAAATCTAATAGTTTTCAACCAAAAACCAATTCGCTAGATAATGCTCAAAACAACGGAAGTAGAGGTACACGGGTCGGCCCGAGTTGATATTTAAACATACTTGCCCTATATTGCACTCATCTAAGGTTTATACTTGGGCCTTAGGTGGGAAATTATTGTGATATTCGGGACGAGTCATTTTGGCTCGTTGATTAACCGACTTTGGATCATATAAGGTTTTAGAAAATATAAAAAATGCATGGATTATACATGAAATGAACTATGGATACAACAGTGGCGGACCCAGGATTATTGAAGAGGGGTGTCGCCGATAAAAATTATAATAATTAAGATAATGAAATAAAAATTTAATAGAAATTACTGGAAATTTATTTATAAGTTCACAACCTCATGTTTACTACGAATTATGACGATATTTCATATTTGAGATTTTTTTAAAATACATTCATCGTTTATGTTGCAAATCAAACCTTTTTCGATATACACAACTACATAATCATTCATAAATTAATCACTCAACTAAAGAGAATCGACCTACGTCTAAAATCAAATTAAATTAAAATAAATTAGTTTGCTACCAATCGGCTATTTTAGAAAAAACAAAGTATGCCTAAGTAATATCATTAGCATTTTTTCTCTAGTTGTATCAAATTAACCAAAATCAAACCACAATCTCCCATAAATATAGGCAATTCACCTATTAACTACAAATCAATAAGTTAAATTGGATTGTGGGTTACTTAAAACAAGCATGTTTATTTGATTTTACTTATTATTGTTAATTACTAATTATGACGAATAACTTTATAACATTAAAACTATTGTCATATAATGAAAATGTGTCGCTTATAATTATTAGAGCGGTGTCGGAAGTTCCAAATTAAAAAATTTTGTACCGAAAAAATGGAGGTCCTTTACAAAATTTTCGAGCGGAGGGGTGTCGGACGACACCCCTCCCCTTGCCCTAGGTGGAGGTTGAAATTCTTACCATTGATGTATTTGAATTAGATGTACTGAATGAATGTGTGATATGGAAGGATATCATGTTTGGAAAATGCGATTCTACTTTATTGTATAAAAAAAGAGAACACTTTTTAGACCATAAAGTCACAATTACCCGTCATTTACTCCTTTTTCCTCCAATTTTCGTTTGCTATGCAATTGGGAAAAATCTTTCAGCGAAACAAGAAAAGTGAAGATATACCAAACAACGGGATCTCCTTCGATTCCAGGAGAAACAGATACGACAACTTTCCGGCGAATTCCAATTTTCATGGTTAGTTGTGTCCTTCTACTTTACGTTGTGTAGCAATATGTGTCTCCTTCTGCTTCGAAGCGACTTTTCGAGGGCGGGATTAGGTCCAACGTGATGGTGATGATATAGAGGGAGAACAGGGACAAGGCTATGATCAAATGAGAGGAGTAGGGGAGTTGCATGTTACAAGTACAAGTACTTAATTGTAATTAACCTGTTTAGGGTTGATAATCGGCCAAGTATATATATTGGTGTATGGCCGAGTTTCATTGTATCATGTACGCGAATAATACTCAAGAACTCTGCCTTTTGCCGTGGACTAGTCGCAACGATCATTGTTGAGAAATCCACGTAAATCTTGTGTCTCGTATCTATATTTCCTGTGATTGATCTTGGTTTGACAGTGCAAATGAGAGGGGTAAACACAGTTTCCAACACATTTGCACCTGTTTGGATAATATATAACAGTAGGGGGTGCAAAGTTACTGTTTCGGCTTACTCACCAAATTGGGGTGCAAGGGAAGTAGGGGTGGGCATTTATTCGGTTCGGTTTTGACCGAACCAAAATTATGAATATCGAGTCCCCGAATTCTCCCAAACCTCAAACCGAATTCGAACCAAATTATAATTTGGTTCGGTAAGTTTAAACCGAATTATAATTCGGTTCGGTTTTTCACACAAAACCGAATTTGTGAGGCTACTTGTATCTTCTCACTTTTAAATTATTTTTCACCCCTAATTTAAATAATAAATATGCAATTATATGCATCATCAATGATAAAATCAAACTTTTCAACACATAATTCATAAAACATTTCAAATATTTAAGTATAAAAACAACTACAAACATAAAAATCCACCATTTGGAGCTTGCAATCATAGTATTCCGGTTTTTCGGTCGAAAATTCGAAAATTTGGTTCGGTTGAAAGAACCCTAGTTTCCGAATATTTCCCTTCCAAATTCCGAACCGAATAACATTATTTCGGTTTCGGTTCGGTTCGGTTCTGGTTTACCGAATCGGTTGCCCACCCCTAAAGGGAAGGAAGGAAGAGAGGGTGGAGGGTGAAATTATGGTTTTTTATTTTTTAATTGTTTATAACTATATAATTATTGTAAAACATTGTTCTTATAGTTATCATTAATGTAGACATTTTTCGGGGTTGACCGTATGATTCCGAGTGCAAGTTTATTAATATTTGTATAGTCAAATAGAGATCTCTTGGTTAACTCGAATTTGCATTAAAATCTGAGATAAGAAGTGTTTGTGGAACGTATTTGACTAAGTTTGACCATATTTAATTTAAAGTTAAATAAAACCCGAGACCTTGTAGGATGACCAGTTACGAGTTGGGCTTCAAGCTTCGAGGTCGCTTGACCAATGATTATTACAGTTGTTATAATTAATTATTATTTGATCATTATTATATAATAATTTTTTTATTAAAGTATATTAATTATAATTATTAATTTTTTATAATAATATAATACTTTCTTTTCACTCTATTTGCACCCTCCCCCCCTATTTTTTCATCCAAACAATAATTTACCCTTGTACTTACACCCTCACAGCAATGCGCACCCCGTGCAATTTACCACTCAACTTGTACCCCTCGAATTTGCACCCCTCAACAAACATAGTGGTAGAGATTGTCAATCCTTCAACTTGAGTGATTAGAGGTGGACCCTAACTTAATTTAAACCAAAAAAATGAGTGTATCTTGACTATCTTCATAATTCATGTATTGGCTAAATACAACACTTGAAATTTCAATCGTCAAACCATCCTTAAATCTCATAGAAAATGTGATATTAAGTATACATAATTTTCTATATATTAATACCTCATGCATTTTCTATATATACATTATGTGATTCAAACAAGTCAAAAAATATTGTATTTTGTAGAATACATGTGTACTCAGAATACAATGTTTAGAATCGAATGTTAAAAACGAGTCATTTACGAGGTAGTTAGACAATTAGATGGTGACATCATACCATACGTGATAAAATTTAATAATTATTTGGGAGGTGGTGCATCTGCTTCTGCTCCTGCTCCACGTGAAGGAGACAGGGAAGAATGGTGGAGTAGAATAGAGGCTACCGTTTATCATCAAAGAGGGACCCCAAGCTCTGTTCTTTTGGGGTCAAATGTGGAAGCAGCTTCTTTTTTACGCCCCACCTCATTCGACCCAATACTGCATCAGCAAAGCAATAATTCAGCAACACCACACCAATTCATTTATTGGGCTCGCCTCATTGGGCCTCCAAGGGTTGCTAATTGCTGAAGCATTCCAGGTACCATTTTGTTTCGGCTAATACTACAGTGCCGCCATTAAAAGTGCGGCATCGGTAACGCACTTTCTTATTGGGCCATGTGGATCTGACGTGGCATGGGTTGGTTTAATACAATTCGAACCATGAGAACTGACCGAGACGCTAGGTGACCAAACGGACAGAAAGTTTTCCGTGTTCCACCTTTACCATTAATTCCTAACGGTGCACTTCACGCTTTGATTCAATTTCCTGTTGCAACTCCGTCCAAAATCACCAAGGTGAGTCTCTAACTACTCATCCTCCGTCGAAATGGCACCTCCGGTCACCTCCCCCTCTCCTTGCTCATCAAGTTTAGATCGTCGAGAATCGCAGTTACCACTCGGCGGACCAGTTCTTCACCGGCCACATCTCTCCGCTCCAGATCCCGGCATGATACCAGCGTTGATATCTGTCAGGATATGGTGGCAGTGCTGGTCCTGGACGGAGAGAAAGAAACGGACGCAGCCGTGGCGGTGGCTCTTTTCTCGCGAAATTCAAATTACCCTTGCATTCAATGAGGCTGAAAATTAGCACCGGAGAATTCCAATTACCTTGAACAAAAAGTACCGGTCCTGAAAATTAGCACTAGAGAAAAAGGTTAGCTTTTAAGGGGATTACGATCCAAGACTACAGCAATATGTGCTGTGATTTGAGTTTTTGAATCCTTTTGAGAATTTAATAGATCATGAGTTTCTATTTTTAGACATTTGTGTATTAGAATGAAATCCAGAGTTTACATTGCAATTATGTCAGCTATTAATGTCACCAGGGGAGGCTTCGTCAGAGTTTGATCGGAAAGCATATAGTGTCCGTCTGTAATGATTGTTTGATCTTGCAGTAGACAAAGGTTCTATACCCCTGAACTATCTTCGAAATCATGTAAATTTGATTCAATATCCTAACCCAAATTCACCATTGATATGAATTGACTACCGACGCCACTGATAGGCAACGCTTCTTCTCCGGCGACTTCTCTTCGTGACCCAGCTTCACAAATTCACAAATTACCGAGAATTTCCGGCCGGTCACAAATGGCGCCTGCTTTAACTCAATCTGACTTTAAAGTTTAAACAAATAAACACATAAATTTCGCAAGAAACGAGCCACCGCGCCACACATGCGCCGGTTTCTTTCCCTCCGTCTAGGAACATCAGCGTCGCCATATCCTTCACAGAGATCGACGCCGGTCTATTTTTCGGGTTCTGGAGAAGAGAGATGTGGCTGGCGAAGAACTGGTCTGCCAAGTGGTAACTACTATTCTCGGCGATCTAAATTTGATGAGCAAGGAGGTGGGGAGGTGACCGGAGGTGCGATGTCGACGGAGGATGAGTAGTTGGAGACTCAACTTGGTGATTTTGAACGGATTTGCAATATGGCGTTCGAAATTAATGGGAAAAGTGGAAGACGGAGACCTTGCTGTCCGTTTGGTCACCTGGCTGCTGTTCGGCCAGTTCTCATGGCCCAATCGGTTTGGTTCGGATTGTACATAATCAACCAATGCCACATCAGATCCACATGGCCCAATAAGAAAGTGCGTCACCGATGCCTCACTTTTTACATCGGCACCGTAGTATTGGCCTTTTGTTTCTCTATTAGATGGATTCATGAGTGGTCATTATTTTATGCCCATTCAAAGATTCATTAGAGATATTAGAGCGGAGAATCCAGATCAAATCGTATGGAAAATCGCGTCTAAATTAAACGGTATGGGTTGGTCGGTTTGGTCTAAACCGTGAAATTAGAATTATAATCTGATCTAGTTTATGGTCTTTCCCTTTGGTGTATGGTCTGACGCGACTTGGACTGTGATAAACCGCTACTAATCTAAATCAAAATAACACTGTCATTTCTCAACGTCACCACAGTAGGGATTGAGTGCGAAAACCTTTCAGACCACCTGGGAGAGGGAGAGGGAGAGACAACACAAAGAGGAAGACTGGAAGAGAGAGACAAAGTTATTTTTTGTGTTTTTATTTTATTTTAAGTGGATACTTGATAGAGTAGTGGAGACTAGAGTGGGAGTAAGAAATCAAGAAAGTAAACTTCCCCCTCATATTTCCTTGAGGATAGATTACTATTCACTAAATTTTTGTTTCACTAGTATATTGAGCATTGAACTTTTTTATTTTTATGGATACAAAAGAGGAACTAAAAATAGGAGAATAGTTAAGTTTTGTTGAACGTGATATATTTGATCCAGATCGTATCAACCATATTGTACATGCATGATTTGAACATGATATACTTGATCCAGATCCTATTGACCATATTGTACATACCGTAGAATATATAATGTTCTAGACTTCTAGTCTATATTCTAACATATCGATATAGATAGGTCCGAACGGCACCATTTCCCACCCCTGATTTATACGATCACACCTTTATTGCTCTCCTTCCTTTCTGTATGAATATTGATTTGATTGCGATATTGCTTTCCATTAAAAAAAACTCATGGAGAAAAATGCATTACCTCCGAAACAATACATTTGGGCCCAAAGACAGTTTACCAATTTAACCTTTTTCTTGTGTCTGCAAACCCAATATAACCACCCTCACATTTAGGGGGTGAACAAACACACCCACAAACCGATCTATCCATCCAACTCGATCCAACTCACTCGTATTTATCGCTAAAACTAAGGTTTTGGGTTGGGTGAGGGTTTTCTTTTATACAACCCGCCACTTTTGGTTTGGGTTTGGATTTTGGATTACACACCCGTAGAACCCGACCTAACCCGTGTTCCAACTATTGGTATGAGTTCGTATCCAAAAAATATTTATGTCGTATATAGTCGTACTTATGTGAAAATTAAGATATTTAGCCATGTTTTTCTCTCATGGTCTCCCTAATCTAATGCATTCTTCGGCTTAAAGTTTATACATAGATTTAATATAGATATGATTCATGTAATCATTTTTCTTGTATACAATTTTAATGAAATAACATATTATGGATGCATTCGTTTATAACATTTTTAGCCTATTTCAACAAATATAGTGGGGAAAAAACTAGACATATGTTGAAGTAAATCACATTTTATTAAAATTTAAACAATATTTGTGAATTTTGATACCTTTCATCTTGGTTCATTCGTTTGAAATTTAAATTAGTTATAAAATATTTTTATGGTGTAGAATAATTATATATTTTGTGTTGGGTTGGGTCTTTACTTAAAAATATCGCCAACCTGACCCAATCCAATTACAAACAAACCGTAGGAAATTAATTTTTTTGGTGAATTAGAATTTAATATTTTCCAAACCGTAGTGCATGAATCGAGTGACTAAATTAACTAAACCCGGACCACCCAACCCATGCACAACCCCCTACTCACATTACATATCTGCAGCTTATTTATTCACCCAAAATCCATATTACGGTAAGTTGGTGTTCCACTTCCAATTCATAGTTCACATTTCACAAAGACCACCGGCGACAACATCGACCGTCCGGCGTACGGCGTCCGGGCCCTGATTTGTTGGCAGCGGTATGATGCACTTGACGGGCCTGGGATTGGACTTGCCTAATTACATTGAACCTCTACTATCAACTTAAGTTATTTGAATAAGTTGGTTTATGATATCCTATTAAAGTTGGTTGGTTCTTAAAGTCATGTGTTTAAATTCTCATGATCTCTAATATTAACTGTTGTTTTAAAGCACATTGTATGAGGAGGTCTGTACAAACTTCAAGTTTATAAGACATCTTTCGTTTGAGGAGAGTCAGGAGACGTGAGGAAGTGATTAAATATCATTCATGAACTTCTTACTACAACTCGAGTTATTGGGACCCGATGGTTTATGAAATTCACAAATCATTGATGAAAAATCAATAACACAAGATATAAGAATTAAGTAATTAATAATTAGCCACTGCCACCTAGGGATGGCAATGGGTCCGGTTGGGTCGGGTTTTGCCAAACCCAAACCCAAACCCATGGGTTTATCCGTGAAAAACCCCGTGGTAAAACCCATTGGGTTTGAAAAACTCAAACCCAACCCAACCCACTGGGTATCCGCGGGTTTATGGGTACCCACGAGTTTTTGTCGTGAAAAATTTACAATAACAAGTTCAATATCAATCTCTCAATACAAATTATCCATATATAAAACACTATTCTAGAATATTCAAGCAAATCACAAATTAACTATACAAATTGTTCAACACCAATCTAGAAAACTCAAGAAAATTGAAACAAATCACAAATTATCCATAAATAACATGATTAATTGAAAACTTCTTCCTTTCAATTAAGTTTCTTCACTCTCCACTCGATAACATCAACTTCATTCTACACAATTAGAAAGAAAAAATTAGACATGTCTCCACAAACATAAATAAGATTAGTTGTTTAGAATATTAAATATCGAGAAAATTAATTATATGGGTGTGGGCGGGTACCCATGGGTCGGGTTTACCTAAACTCAAACCCCAACCCGATGAATAGTGAACGAGTTTAGACTCAAAACCCGTCAACACGGATTTTATCCGCGTTGACCGAGTTGGGTCGGGTGGATACCCATGGGTTCGGGTTTTGTTGCCATCCCTACTGTGACCTGCCTACTGAATGCATTTAGTAGTGTAACAGCAACATATTAATTACTCATAAGAAGCAAAAAAGAAAATGAGGTGAGAATTATGGTGTCAACTTCATATTAGTTGTTACCGTGACAGCTAACACTCTGTTTCGGGGGGGGGGGGGGGATTTAAATGACGATGTGAGAAAAATTACGAGGGAAGGAAAATAATATGAGAAACCGTTGTTTTATGTGGATAATAATAGGGGAAAAGTATATTGGAAAGTGTGATAAATATTTTATTTATTGATTATGTAAGAGTATTTGTGTGAAATATATATATTGTAAGAAAAAATATATAAAAATTGATATTATGAATAACGAATTTTTACATAACAATGATTATAAATATTTTCAATATATTTTAACATAATATATCTCGAACCATCATTCAGATAGATGAGGTAAGTTAATGAGTTCAGATATTAATGAACTCTTTAGAAGAGTTATCGTTCATTTTTAACTCAATTTAAAAAATGTCATAAAATTGTGGATTACATATGTTGTACAAGTCTACAAGATGAGATGCATTCTATAATAATTTCACACTTAATGTCATTTTACTTGGAACGTAACATACTTTTACTACCCATGTAACAATTAAAAGTATAGTGTAAAACAACGTTATGTGTGACGTAAATTAGTATTATGTTCCATTCGTGGTTATATAGGACATAAAAATGACAAGAAATTTGAATTCAGAATAATTTTTTTTAGGAAAAGTAGAATTTGAACTATTTACTCATACTTATCTTTGCTCTGACTTTAATAAACTTGTGGTCTACTTTATGAGGGCTATTGTATGCTTTCAGTAACTTGTGGTATACTTTTATGAGGGTTCGGATATGCTTTAAAATACTTATAATATGCTTTAATGAACTTGTGCTTTGATATTCAACGAAAAAAAAACTTGTGGTTTGCTTTATGCGATTTCTAGCATGCTTTATAGAATTTGTGGTATGGTTTGTAAGATTTGTGATATGCTTTGTAAGACTTATTGCATGCCTTGTGTGACTTGTGGTAATTCTTTTGTAAACTTGTGGTCCACTTTATAATGCAGATGAGAAAATGTGAATAACATATAAGAAACCTTGTAACCCATACAACAAAATGTAAAAAGCAACCCGCAAAAGATAAACTTGTGGAGGACAAAGTCCTGATTGGAACGAATTTCACCAAGCTCCAAGAAAGTAGAGAGCCTCGCTACAACAAATTCCACCAAGCTCCAAGAAAGTAGAGAGCCTCCCTTATCAGTTTCAAGCCTTCACCCAGCTCATCTCCCTCGCCGCCATCATTGTCTTCGCCGTAAGCGGCCTTGTGGGGATCCCAAACTTCACCTTCGTCTTCTTCCCCTCTTCTACATATCCCAACTCTCCCAATTGGCCTTCCCTCGTCTCCCGCATAAGAATGCCATCCCCGCCCTCACCTGTTCTTGGATCCCTAAATGCGACGATGGAAACTGGGGCAGGGTCGGCGTAAGCCCACAGAATGACGAGTCGATCGACAGACAATCTGTCGGAACATAGTCCTTGCTGCATAAGGATTTGATCGGGAGAAGTCTTGATTGGGAAAGGATTTAAGTTTTGGCGCCTGTTTTCCGTCGAGGAAACTCTGGTGGTTGAACTCAATGATTTGCACCTTTGACTTCTTGAACAACGATAATAACACAGTTCACACCTCTCCAAACAATGTTCGAACGGGGGTGTTTGATGTGTTTGATATGTAAGAAAACTAAGTTAAGTTACTCTACTCCTATGAAATTCAGTGAGAGCTCCATAAACTAAAGACTACAACTATGGCTACATTGTAGAGAAATGATAAAGTTTGACATGTGTTGTCAAAGGTTTGGTTGTGGAACCCTTGCTTTGTCTTCGTTTCTCCTATTTATGGACACCAAGTGTAACTGCCTTGGTAACTGCTGATTGGCCTGTTGCTCCAACCGCCTTAGGGATCCCTTACCCCAGCTTGGTAACTGCTAACGAGTCGTCGCCTTGGTGCTCACTTCCATCTCCTAGGTGGCCCCTTGTCCTGCCTTGGTGGCCTCGAGGTTGGGTCAGGTTGGTGTTGAGTCTTGTAGTCTTCTCCTGACAAGATGGGGTTGAAGCTTCCTTTCCTTGCCTCCATGATGAAGTCTCGACCACACCCTTGGCAGCCCCCCCAAGACTCAATACTTAGTTTTATTATTATCGTCTTGCTCCTCTTATTGTTGTCTCTCAGGCTTGATACCCCCTGTCACCAAGTCACCCATGTCAAGCCCTACTACCAAGCCAGCCTAGCCGGCTTGGTCTCCATACTTAGTTTTTATAATCTCATCAAGTTTGTACATTGTTGCCCCTTCGACATGGTACCTAGGGCCATTACGCCTGTCTTGGGACTTAGTATCCATATGGACCCCTAAGGGGCTATACACCAACTCTACATCAAGTTGATATTGTAAGAAACAAAAATTCCCGAGTTGGGAAATTAGGGATTGAGAAGAGAAGAAATTAGGGATTGGAAAGGATTGGGGAAAAACAAGAGAGTGAATTGGGAGATTTAGGGAATTGGGAATTGATAATTGTTATTATCGAATTATCAAAATAATCCTTAAATAGTAAAACATAAGTAACACGAAATAATGAAAATGCCACCCTCCTAAATTGGCCGAGTTCGGCCTACTCAACCCACCTCTGTTGGGTTCGGGTTTCCCACATCCCCTCCCCCTTCAGAATCGACCTGGTCCTCAAGGTCGAAGTTCGAGAACTTCTGTCGTAGAATTGTTGTCTCCTCCCAGATGGCGTCCTCTGGATCTACATGTCTCCACAGTACCAAGATCTCCTTGACTAGATGACCACCCTTCTTCGTCTAGCGCATCTCCAACACCTTTAGGGGGCACTAGATCTATCACCATCTGCAGTAACCGGGGGGCGGTCGTCTCCACCCTGTTCGTCGATCCTCGATACCGCTTCAGCAAGGATACGTGGAACGTCAGATGAATGCGTGACTCTGCTGGCAACTACACCAAGTCTCCCACCTAGAACTCCTCATCTCTCCTGCCCGCATCCTCCGCCTACTTCATCCTGTTATTGGCTGCAACTAAATTAACCCTCAACTTCTCCAATGCCTCAACGCGTGCCCCAAGCCACCTGTCCACGACATCAACAGAACCAGACCCACTCCGGTAGCGCACTAGGTTCGGCGGTTGCCTGCATACAATGTCTTGAATGGGGTCATCTTAATGGCACGATGGTAGATGGTGTTATACCAGAGCTCCGCCCATGGTATCATAGCCAACCAGCTCTTCGGCTGCTAGTGCGCAAAACATCGAAGGTACTATTGACTATCTCCGTCTGCCCATCGGTCTAGGGATGATAGGCTGAACTCATGCGTAGAACTGTTCTTGCCATAGCAAAATCCTCCTGCGAGAAATGACTCAAAAAAATAGGATCGTGGTCACTGAAGATGGACCTGGGGTAATCCATGATGTCTCACCACCACATCACAAACTGCTCGACCACGGTTTTCGCAGTATACGGGTGTGCTAATGCCATGAAATGAGCATCTTGGTGAGCCGATCCACCAACACAAACAACACCGTCTTCCCATCGGTCGGGGGCAATCCCACAATAAAGTGCATACTCATATCACTATCTGGCACGTATCACAAGAAGCCACGTAGTTCTTCACATCCTGCGCCATACGGGGCCAGTAAAACTGAGCTCGAATCTTGCGGAGAGTCCTCTCCGCACCTGAATGATCTCCTAGTGGTGTATTATGAAAGTCCTTCAGCACTGTTGTAACAAGATTCGACTCGGGGGGGAAGGACCACTCGACCCTTGAAGGTCACCAGCCCCTGTCGAAATACATAGTGGCCTGGGCTATCACTTACTGCGATATCACGACATTGCTGCAGGTACTGACTTGTCTCTGTGGAAGCACACACCTCGTCCTAGAATTGAGGAACCAACCTGTTACTGCTGTGAGAATCTCGCCTCTTGGCTTTCCGGACAGGCCGTCCGCCACCACATTCCTGGACAAGAATTCCTGAGTTGGGAAATTAGGAATCGAGAAGAGAAGAAATTAGGTATTTGAAAGGATTGGGAAGAACAAGAGAGAGAATTGTGAGATTTAGGGAATTGGGAATTGATAATAGTTATTGCTTAATTATCAAAATACTGATCTGAATCCTTAAATAGTAAAACAGAAGTAACAAAAAAATAACAAAAAAAGCCACCCTCCTAACTCGGCTGAGTTCGGCTTACTCAACCCGCCCGTGTCGGGATTCCCACAGATACCATGTCAGCTCGGTACCTTGGATGACAAGTCTCCACCCTCGAGGTGCCATACTTGATCTTGATAATCTAAGGATACCAAACTTGCCTTGTCGGCTCGGTACCCTCTTGCTTGGCTACCAAGCTTGGTTTGTTGGCTTGACACCCTGTTGTCTTGCTACCAAACCTGTCTTGCTGGCTTAGTACCTTATTGGCTCCATACTTAGCCAATTTTTATATGTTTTTGTACCAAGCATGCCTCGTCGGCTTGGTACCCTGTTGCTTGCCTACCAAGCCTATTTTGCCCTCAGCCTACCAAGCCTATTTTTTCGGCTTGGTACCCTGTTGTTTGGCACCTTGTTTTGCCGCCTGTTTCCAGACTTAATTTTTTGGGAGCTATTCTGCCCTCAGCCTACCAAATCATTTTTGTCGGCTTGGTATCCTATCGTTTGGCAACCTGTTTTGCCGCCTTGTTTCCATAATTAGTTTTTTGTGAGCCGAATTCTATACTAAGGGGGTGGGAGCATTGTCCGGTTATGGGGAGGCCAACCACGAGGCCAGGGATAGGGGCTTGGCTATTTAGGCCAAAAAACCCAACCTAATAAGGCCCAATTAGCTCATTTAATTGCTAATGTTGAGGTGACCTTATAAAGTCATTAAATCTCTTATAATAAAACAATGTGGTACAAGGATTTTTTATGGGTAAGCAGCTCCAAATTAAGTATGTCTTCAAGTTTCAATAAAACTGCGTCGTTTGCAGTATTATTGAGTCAGTACTTTAATTTTTGTTTACTGCAGTTTAGTCCTTAGTAGTGCTCAGTATGTTGAGAGCTTTTAGTTCGGGTTAGTTGATCAGCAGATCATGGAAGCTATGTAGTGGGGTTATGGACGTTAAGTCTATTGTTGGTAGTCTCAGATCTATGGATTGCATTGACCTATTTATGCTCTTTCATTTACTTCGAATAAAGTTTTTAGTTCGCATACATTTTGAGTAGTACACAATCGACAACCTCCTGCTTAACGAAGTGATTGATCCCTGGACGCTACAGTGGAGGCTGTGGTGGCGTTGAGGTAATGCCCCAAGAATGATGGGTGGCGTCGGCCACCACTATTTTTTTTACAGTTCGGCCGCCCCTAATTGCTGCTAAGGTTTTTAACCAAAGTTTTTCATTTTTCAAAATAACAAGTGTGCTCTCCCTTCATAAATCTGTAGTTAATTGGGTTAACCCTTAAAAATTAAAAAGTCATCCAAATCAAATATTTTTATTGATTAGAGCTAGTGTTAGTATCATGCTAACAAAAAAAATGTGAGCACCCTAACCTGAGAGCGATTCTGGTGAATAACTTTGTGGTGCATAATCGTACATAACCAGCCACATCAACGTTGCATCACCATTTATATAAGATTTTAATATTTCTCCTCTAAATTTTAACAAGATATATCTCTTTCGTTTTAAGTGAGAATTTAAATTTTTTTGCACAGATAAATCAGATAAATTGTGCTATTCAAAACAATATCGACTTTGATATATTTTTGGAATAAAAAAACTTGAGGCATTTAGTACTAACCTATACCATGATGGTATTATTTGGTATTACATAAGAGCATACCATGTGGTAAGAAAGTGTATCAAGGTGGTATGAACATACCAAACTGTAGAATGGTTGCATACATGATAGCAGAAATATACTAACTGTATTTTACAACTTTAGAAATTGTGTACCATAAGATACAACCCCTATACCAATTTAGTATTTCTTTGTCCTGTATATTTTTCTCCTAGAAATTTGTAGATCTAATAAATCATGATGAACTCGTTCCTGTTGTGCAAAATTTTCCAAAATCGACTTAAAACGAAGGAGATACCATATGCTATGGAGGTGGTAATGAGTGGCATAATTTTTTTTTCTCAAAATATATTGAAAATGGATATAATTTTGTAATGTAAAACAAACTCGTTCCTTCTATGCAAAAGAAATTGAAATCCAAATTAGAATGAATAAGATAAGAATCGATTAAAAAACTAGGGCAAATAATAATAAAAATTATTGCCAACACTTAGATGTGGGACCAACTTAAAATAAATATCTCTAATTTAATTATGAGGTCGTTTGAATGAGTTTTTTTTGTTGATGTGGTATCGATAAAGTGAAATAACTCACTTTTTCTACATATGGTATTTGTGTGTGATTTGGAAGAATTGAGAGTTTAATTATCTTGTTTGGATGAACTAAAAACAATGAGTTATTTCAAATGTGGTTTTTTGTACATAAATAGTAAAATACTA